GAGAACAATTACCTCCTTATGATTGATTTAAATTTGTTTCAAGTATTTTGTAATAATATTTAATCAGCAATTTAGATAATTTGGTTTTTGCCGGTTTTTACCAGTTTTCGCCATTTTTACCAGGTTTTTGCCACTGTCCTGGCAAAAACCCCTTTTTGCCGGCAAAAACTCCAACCCTGATATATATATATAACCTCAACCACAGGTTGTATACTTTTTTTTTAAAAAAAATAAACTTTATTCAAGCTGCTATGTAGTTTATTAAATAAATACTTGAAATTTTGAATTTTAAATGTTCTAATTATAATACTCTTTGAATTTAGGTTTTAGAAGAAGCTTGCAGTAAGCAAAATTTAAATCCCGAGGACTTTGATTTATTGTAAGTTTGATTTATTGTTTGATTTATTGTTTCATGTGAGAAATTGTGTAAAACTTCACATTGTTGCCAGATTACTTCAGTGTTTTCTTTTCTTTTTAGTCATTATAAAAAAGCACTGGATCTAAGTTTACCTATTCGTTTTGCAAATTTACCAAATAATGCTTTGTTGGAGTTGCAGCCTGCCAAAAATGCAAGAAAAGATTGCTTAGTTACTATTGCTTTACAATTGGAGTCTGGAGAAAGGTTGATGGGTGATTTTAAGCCTGCATCCACTTTATTTGATATCCTTAAACAGTTTTTAGGGTACAGTATTTTTTAATTCCATCTTTTTTTAATTATTCTTTTCAATTGAAAATTTCATTATTATTATCCTTTTTTTAACTTTAGCCCAGATGCAGTTACTCTTAAAGAAAAAAGCGAACCAGTATGTGTTTACATGCGCCAACAGGTATATATTAAAACAATATTCAAATGCAGATTTTTAAATGCAATTGTGAAAATTTTAAGATTAATGAAATTTGGTATTTAAAATATCAACATTGTGTTAATTTATTTGTCTTGTTCACTATCCATAATATTTGTAAATTTTTTCCTATACTCAATGCTGTCCTATCATTCTTTTGTACCTTTTGAGTTCTTATTTAATATAGCTCTAATTACCTTTTTCTTCTCCCTAGAAAAATATTTCAGAACCGCGATTAATTGTTTCTCAAGGCACTATTCATTAGGAATGATAAATGGGAAAATACAACTCTAACGTGTCAATATAAAATAATAACTTGAAAATATATGAAAAGAAAAAGGAGTAATTGATTTGAAAATTATTAAAAAAATGATTTTAATTAAAACAATTATGTATGCACTGCATAACTAATTACTATGCAAAATAAAAAAGATGAATAAACACATAAATTTATTTGAAATGTTTAAAAATAATGGTTTGAACAAAAATTTTTCTTTTAAGCGAACATAATTTTTTTTTTAGTTAATTTTCAACATTAGTAACAGATTGCTGCTCCTTTTCTCTAAGTTCATGTGAATAAAAAAAATTCCTCATTAATTCAAAGACTATCACAAATGTTAACACCAGTTGTGATTTCCTTTTTGACATCTTTATCAGTATCACTTTGCACTATTTCTTGAACCAACAATACCACAGGTTTAAACATTTTCATCAACTGATGCGTGAACATCAAACATTCTGTTTAAAGTGTTTTCCCCAAACTGTGACAATTTTTTTTCTTCATCATTACCATCAGACATTACTATTTTTCTTCTCGAAACGAAATAAATTCACTGTATTTTATTAATTGTTGGTAGAATATCTAAACAACTGATATAGGAATCTATTAGTATCAAAAATCATTTTATCTAGTGTTATTAACAACATTACAAGAATAGAATTTGTGATGGCATCATTAAAAAATGACTATAAAGAAAATTAAACATATGAAAATAATTGATCAAGGTTTAACTGTATAAATTTTTGTATGTCCCATTACTGCACTATTATGACAATATACTGTTACTATGATGATCAAATACCTCAAACTTCAACGTTTTCAGTTTAATTTCACTTAAGCATACTTATTTATGTAGGAAAACCTTTTTTGATAGAATTTTAAGATTTATTAATGCCATTTCTTACCAAAGTTTGTGATAAAGGAACATGACTGTGTGAATGTCTCAATTTAGTGCGTACAAACAATAGTATTAAAAGTAATTTTTAATAATATATTTAAAAAAATTATATAATTATTATATTAAAATAATATTAAAAATAGGTTTTTTTATGAAATTGCATAGGATTATTTTTATGAAGTTATCTATTTGTAAAAATTTTTTATTAAAAATATAATTGTGTGTTAAAATATTAGTTATTTGTGTGTGTTTTGTCTTTTAATTTGTGATTGAAAATTTGTTCACTTTTTTAGATTTCTGGTGAAGCCATTAAATCTACAACTTTGCGTAGTCTAGGATTAACAAAAGGAACAGCTATTATAAGGTACTTTGAAGATATATTTTTAACTTATACTCTTAAAAGTTATTTTTGCTTTCACCGAACTATATCATTATCATTAACAGTTTATTAAGCCTCATTTTTTTTATAATTTTTTCAAGATTTAAATTTCATATATATTCCAGTTTTTTTATTTCATACAATTGCATTTGAATATTCTGATTTTCCTTTATTTCTATAATGCATTTTCTACTATCAACTTAAATTTAATCATCATTGAAACATAAAACTTAGCCTTTATTGGTAATAAAATAAATATCAAACTTCCTCCTTAAAAGTGACAGCAATATAACAGATGCAACATTAATATTCTTTACCAAAAAAAATTACTGGTCTAAATAAATGGTAACCTTAAAAGTCTGGTTCATGTATAGTGTGATTAGTTTGTTTAATTATTAATTTTAAATGACCTCATGCAGTGGCTTCCAACCTTTGCTTTTGCTAATATAATAGAATAAATAGTTTATTTTTAAAATAAAATATGAATTTTAATGTGATTTTAGATACAGAAAAAATTGAAATATTTTAATTTTTCATAAGGCATTTTTCAATAATTACTGTATTTTTTTAAAAAATTCCTAGGTAACATATGAATTATTCCTTAGTTATTTATTAATTCAAGATGCTTTTTTTTTTAAATTTTAGATTGATGTTTAGAGAACTAGAGCAACTAGATAGTCAGGCACATGTATCTAGCCCTTTAACACCACGACCAGTTCCTGAGCTATTGCCAACTTCTATTACAAACAAATCCTGTTATTCGGAAAAATTAGTTGAAAGTTCAGAGAATAAAATCAATACTGAAATGCCTGCACAAAATGAATTTAAGGCTGGCATGCTACCTAAAGAAACACCAAAACAACCATGTGAATCAACATCTAATAACAAAAGAGCTATTGGTGAAATGTCTCCACCTTTGTTAGAAAGTAAAGATATATCTGATATTAAAAAGAGCAACAGGGATGTTGAGCATAATAATGTTCCTTCTTGTAACATTCCTGATCAAAATGAGAATAAAATTTTACATGATTTAAATGCTAATGGAAAAAGTGCTTGTGCTATTTTTAAAGCTGAAACTAAAACAGAAGAAATGGAATATGATTTAAGTATTGAAGATGTTGATGTAGGAGACATTAACTATGTAAGATAATCTGTTTTGTTCCTTCTTTTGCTATATTTATAATCAAGTGCTTATTTTTTTTTCTCCTTTTGTCTGTTAAAAAAATCCATTTTGTTAAACTCATGTTTTCCTTTTTTTACGTTGAAAATATTCATGTTAAAAATCGCTTGAAAAGATAGTAAAAATGTATTTGTAAATTAGTTGACCATTATAAGTCCATTTTTTTGTATCACAGTCATTTAAAATATTAACTATGTAAAAGATTTTCTCTTTCTTCTCTGTGCAATTTCATTCCTGTGTTAACTAAAATAAAACTTTTGTCTGCACAACAACCTACAATGCATGCATTTAACTTAATTGCGTTAGGTAAATATTAATATGATTGTTATTAAGGTCTACTAAGATATCATTCCATGGCATATCAGTATGTTTTCAGCATTGTTTTTTAAATATTTAAATTCAAGGTAAGTAATATTTTTAATAAATCAGTGACTGTTAACTATACGTAAGAGGTCATGTTAACATATTTTTTATACTTTTCAACCATTTTATTTAAGTTTCTCAACGAACAATTATGCAGTTACTCGAAACTGAAAATATAGATAGTTTAAAATATAATTATGGCACAAAGGTCTGCATAAATAAAGCAAAATAACTTGAACAAAGTATAAATAAACTTGAATAGAGTACAAATAAAGTAAATTGACATACAGTAGTTTCAGTTCTTTAAACAAGAAACTTTTTCTGTATTCACAAAATAACAGTGTAAAAATAGGAAGGCAAACATGTTATAATAAGAAAAAAAAGTGGTATATCCAGTTGGGGAAGAAGAACGAGCTTGACCAACATAATTAAAGAAGGGAGTTAAGAAATAGTTGTGAGGGGGTTGGTAAGGAACCTCTAGGTGAAATTAAATTGAAATATATTTTCATATTGGGGAAGAATGAGATGTTAGAGGAATCTTTATTTAAATTGCTAGAATTTTTTAAAATATGGACAGATTTCCAGAAATCAAGGTTAGTAGAAAAAGAGCAAAGTTGAATAATTTTCACAGAAGAATTCTTGAAAAATTTTAATAATTTACTTGATGATCTTTCTAGTTTCCCATTCTTTCCTAATGTTTGAAAATCTATTCTACTTTTATATCTGCAATTTCCCCCCTTGTGTTTCTACCTCATACTTGTTTCTATCTCCCTTCTTTTATTATCTTGTATATTTTTCCTTACTGGAAAAATGATTTTCTTTTTTTATTGAATGATCTTTGTCTCATTACTTTTCAAATGTCAATTTTCTTGTTGTCACTGAAGAATTTTTTTGTTTATAGAATGCAAACTATACGCATTTCTTTACCTTTATTCATGCTTCATTCATGTTGCTTTGCTTGATTCTTCTGTCGCACAAAGTATTCGCTGTGCTCATTTGGAGATATATCTGTAGTTAAAAGAAATTCTGTCATTTAAGTTATCTCATAGCGGAATATTTAATTTAATCATTAATTTTATTAAATTTAACTTTTTTTCCAAACATTTGCAAATTCTGTGCTCATTCCCCAATGAGTGATACTTACTACAGGGCCAGTAAGCCACATATGGCTTTTGAGCAAGTTTTTTGTGACTTCTTTGAGATGCATGAAAAATGATAAATATTTAATTAATACTATTTATTTTTTAAATGTTAATTTTACAAAAAAAAGTTTAAAAACAAGAAAATTAGTCAGAAAAACTTTTTTTTTATCACTCACCTCTAGAATTGAATATGGTCAAGAAACAGTGCTTAGCAAACAGTTACGATTCATTGAATATGACTTTTTACTACCAGACTTAATAGAATTTCTCCCAGTGTGTCATCTGAACACCGTAAACTTTCCCCACTTATTCTATTTTCATTTTGATCACATTGACCCATCAGGGAATGTTGCCCAACACCTGGTATAATACCAACTGAAACTCCAAGATGACTAAAATAAAAATTAGGGAAGAAAATCAAAGCTAAATAAAAGTCCTTTGACAATTAATGTTGACCTCACAAAGCAAAAGCACAGAAAAGAAGTAGCAGGTCGCTGCAATTTTTTATGCCTTATAAATTTTAAATTTTTTATACTTCATAACAACCAAACATTCATTTAAATGTAGTGAAAAGTTTATGAAAATTTTATCATTTTAGTTTTTGAATTATACAAGCTCACGCATAGCTCTCTTCGTCTGTAGTAGGCATCTCATAATATTATGGCTATTTTTTTTAAAATAGCTGTTTCTTTATTAATTCATTTTTTTTCCATGTAGATTGGTGATAGACATGCAGTACTATATAGTTTAGATGATATTACAGATGTTAAGAAAGGTAATAAATTATATAGTTCTTATTCTTCCTATGCATTGATTTACTTTAATGTAACTTACTGTGAAATAAAAAACCTGTTTTTTTAACATTAAAACATTTTTTGTATTTTTTTTTAAAAAAAAGAAGGCAATAACTATTCCTATTTTTAAACTTAGATTTCCAAAGGATAAAGCATCTGAGGTGTAATATATTTGATTGTTCATTTATCTTTTTACTTCATTTTCTTTTCATTGTTATTTCGTGTAAGACATAGTCAGACTTAGATAAAATGAAAAACTTTCTTCTGAGCACATTGATTATTTCTTGTACCTGTTCAACCTTTTCACCGCCGCTTCATTTTAGTGAAATTTTTTGAAAATCTCAGATTTTTCAAAAATGTCAATTTTTCTTATAGAATTCTGTATTGATTCATACCACAGGGATGAGCTTGGTAAAAAAATCAAAAAAGTGGAAAATAGAAATTCAAAAATGTCATTTGCAAAAACATTTTTTAAATCGATTTTGAATTCGCTTTAATACGAGTCTCAATATTTGATTTTAAAATCACGTGAATATGAATCTCGGTGTATAATTTTGAAGCCACTTGAATACAAATCATAATAATGGCTTTTAAATCGTGTGCATATAAAATGCAGTATTTGATATAAAATCGTGTAAATATAAAACACGCTACACGATCTTAACCCACATAAATGGGAATCGCGACGAGTGATTTTAAATATTAATTTAATTTTAAATCGCCTTTGCATTGGTAGGAAAAACTTTTTTGTCGGGAATTGGGAAAAAGTAGGAAATTTTTTTTTTTGTAATAGTAAAAAATTTTCTACATTAGTGACAAATTTTCCGCCAATGGTGTTTGCGCCTTTGTTCATATTATACAGGTCTGAACTTGGTTTACAACCTCATTCATACAATCTGCTCCCACTATGACTCTTCAATTGCAACGACAGATGCATGAAATCCTGTTTGTTATTTGATAGACACAATGTTATTTCAACAGCCATTAAAACATCCGAACTGCACTGTTCATTCTAATATAAATATGAACCTATAATTCAAATTTTAATCTTAATCTCAATGTNAAAATGATGGTAAGGTAAAAATCTTTCAGAATGTTTACCTTACCTACCAGATCAAAAAAGAAAGAAAAATCCTAAAATCTTGTACTGTAATAGTAAAAAATTTTCTACATTAGTGACAAATTTTCCGCTAATGGCGTTTGCGCCTTTGTTCATATTATACAGGTCTGAACTTAGTTTACAACCTCATTCATACAATCTACTCCCACTATGACTCTTCAATTGCAACGACAGATGCATGAAATCCTGTTTGTTATTTGATAGACACAGTGTTATTTTAACACCCATTAAAACATCCGAACTGCGAACTGCACTGTCCATTCTAATATAAATATGAACCTTTAATTCAAATTTTAATCTTAATCTCAATGTTTCTTATAATTAATTTAACAAGTGTTTCACTTCAATTAAATAATTCTTTCTTATTACAAAGTTGAATTTATCCAAGCATTTTTCTTGTAGCTGATTTGCCTGATGAGTTTTTTGAGCTGACTGTTAAAGATGTTAGATATTTGATGGAAGAATATAAAAGAGACAGGTATTATAACTATGAAATTATTTTAAGAACTGATGAAAAATTATGTATAGTTTCATTTTGTGTAATGAAAATATTATCTAATTTTGTAAATTTTTTGCTGTAGAAACCTAATGGAAAGTCAGCCTCTTTTAACCAAAGAACAGAGAGACAGACAATTGTGTCAAAAGTTTTCTACTTATAGTCAAACAGTTATTCGTATTTATTTCCCTGAAAAATTAGTTTTGCAAGCAGTTTTTATGATTACAGAAACAGGTATTTATTTTGTTATTTATCAATAAGAATTATTTTCTGTTGCTCTTTTGTAAAATTGTTGAATGTTTATCAAATTTCAGGCCTTTCTTGAGATTTTCTAGGCAGTGATAGAACTATTTGATTCCTATAATTTGCCGTTGAGCTAAAATTTAAAAAAACTATTGAGTACAACTTGAATAATTTTCTACAGTAAAATCCAATAAAATTGACCTGAAAAAATTTCTTTATTGGTGTTCATTATCAATGATTGTAGTCTAAAACATCCGTAATGAAAATGTTTATTTATTAATTTTTTGAGGAATTTGTGAACTGATGGCATAGTTGATTAATGTTTAATCATTATTGCTTTGGTTTAGTTATTTTGAAGTCTCAGAAATAACATAATTAAAATTTTAAAAAAAATTATAAAGCATTTTATGTAATATTTTGTCCAGGCTTTTGACTACAAATTTATTGATTTTTTGTTTATTTATTTTAAATGTTTTTCTATCTATATGTCTTTTGATCATTCTGTCTGAGCTAATCATACTGAAAAATATATTATTATTAGATTAACTAAATATTTTCTTGACATTTTTTTCATTTGAAAGTCTTGTAAATGGCTTCTTTATTTTTCAGCAGTTCGTATAATAACTCTATTTTATTGATAACTCTTTGTTGGACCTTAAACTAAGGTTAGGCACAGATTGTTATATGAATGATGGAAACACAAGGTTATCCACTAATTATTTTGTGTTTCCATTGTTTTGATAATCACTTATTATACTAGAACTAACTTCTATGAATAAATGTGACCTTTTATAAAATGTTAATTTCTAGAAGCATAAAAGCTTTATTTAGTTTAATTGTAAAATATCGTTGCAAAAACAATCAGTGATCAAGAGAATTAAATTTTAAAACAGATGTTTTCTAAATCATATCGCATAATTTTTTCCACCCAGCTCTTTATATCAATTAAGCTCAGATTAGTTTACTTTTCTTGTATGTATCTTGAACTATAAATAGTCCCTTTTTTTAATATTTTAAATATATAGCCTTTAAATTAAACAATTTTTATACATTTTGTTTACAGTTGAAACTGTATGTGAATTTGTAAGAAATTATTTGGAAAAGAAGGATATTTGTTTTTATTTATGTGAGTATTTTTTTTCAGTAATTTCCATTTATATTATTTGCAATTGAATTATGAATTATTTGTTTTTATAATATTTTTAAAATTTGACACATTTTCTTTCCATTTATTTCTTAGATACTACTCCACCAAAAGAAAAGTTAATTTATTCAAAAACTTTGTTGGAAGTGAGTACAGTGTTTGAAAACCGTTGTTTCTGGTCATTTTCATTGTTTTTCAATATAAATTTAATGTGTGAAAAGATTAATTTTTATTTATGTTAATTGTTTTTTTTTGTACATATGTTACATTATTTTAGTTACTCTTTTTAAAATGATTTATTAATGTAACTATTATTTCAATAAGTTTTTTAAAAGCAGTATCTTATTTACTAAAGAATTACTTAATGCAAAAACAGCCTAAGGTCTTTTTAATTCCTCCCTGTTTTTATTCCCTATCCAGTTATTTTAATTACAATTTTAACCTTCTGAGTGTAATCCCTGTTCTACAGGCTCAACACCTTAGCAGCTAATAATCTTCTTTTTTTTGTGTTATATCTGTGTTAAAAGTTTTTCACTTTAGTTGTAAAGAGATAATACATTTTGTTTTAATTGGTCTGTATTAACATTATAATTTAAAAAACTCACTTTTTTAACTGCCTGCATTTCTAGTTGTGCATAATGTTTTATTTAATGTTAAAAGTGAGTTTGGCAGAGAAATTATTTTTCCAGTTTGCTTAATACAGCAAAGGTTTTTATGAAATTACATAAAAGAAGTTTATTGTTTCAGTTTATGCAACAAAAGTTCAAAATAAAGTTGTTTTCCCTGTCTAAAAAGAAGAATCAACCGGAAAATTTACATCAAGCCTCTATTTTTCCTAAAAAAAATCTTTTTTTCTTTTTCATTGGTCACTATTGATAACTTTCACCATAGAAAAGTCACTTATATTTATTAAAGGGCTAATAAGTCACTAATTGGTCTATTTTTGACTACTAAATTAATCATGGCTACACAGCAAAGTTTTCCAGAGTCATTTTTCTACCACCAGCAATAGTGTAGTTGTCTTGAAGTTGTCTGATGTCCTCCTGATCTCTCACCAATTGAAAACGTCTGGTCAATGGTTGCCGATTGACTGGCACGCCACCACTCATCAGTCATTGTGGCATAATGTTCAAGCTGTACCCATCCATGCTATCCAATCTCTATTAGACTCAATGCCCAGGAGAATAACTGCTGTTATTGCTGCCAGAGGAGGCTGCTCTGAGTACTGATTCCTCAGGATCTATACATCCAAATATCCTGAAGATTCAATCTCTTGTTCTTCCAACTATAATGTATGTGCCCAATAAATATCATTCTGTTATTTGCATTCCTTCCTGGTGTAGCAATTTTAATGGCCAGTAGTGTATATTTACTTTTGCAATTTAGAAAAAAAAAATTATTTTTTAAAAATAGTTATATAATCTTTTATTAAAGCATTCATTCTTTGTCAATTTAAGTGTTTACTGGTTCCTGCTGCAGTAGTTCACTTTGGAAGTGATGTTCAGCTTCCACATTATCTCAATACCAGCTTAAGGCAAAAGAAATCTGACCCAAGAGCTGCTGCTTTAGCTGCTGCACAATCTAGGTAATTATTATTAACTTGCATTTAAATTTAATAATATTTGCTTTTGTTTATTGAGCTTTATAAAGCTCAATATTTTACATGAAATTTTAACTAGGACAAAAACTTATTGTAATTTTCTTGCCTCTAAACAATGTATCTGGCGATCTGGAAAACCCGGAAAAGTCATTAAATTTTTTTTTGATTTATGGAAAAGTTAGAAAAATTTCTAATTTCTGTCAGAAGTTTGAAAAATGTTTAATTTCTATGTGAAGGAAATTTTTAACTTCTAAGGAAAAGATAGAATTTTTTCATTTTTTGTTGCAATCTTAAATCTAATTTTCTTTAATATCATTCTCCTTTATATGCATTCTCTCAAGTTCAATTATTTTTATTCACTGTAAATAACCCTTCTTTGTGACCATAGAAATGTTACCTAATATTGTCTATAATAAGAAAAGCACATTTAGCCAAATTAATTTCTTTAATTCCAATACATTTAGTAAAAAAGTGTATTTCTGTATTATATGTTAGTCAATGTACATGATAAAAAATAAATATATATGTACTGGAAAACACTATTTAAATACATGTAAAAAAAGTAATTAAGTTCACAACTTTACTCCAAAATTTTCTTTATTCAGTAGTAGATATGTTAAACCTAATGACGTTTCTTTTTTTTCTTTTTTTTAATATATTAATCTTTAATTTATATTTTAAACTGTTGTTTTCACTTTAAATGGGAAAAAAAGTCTTAAATTTTTTAAGCAAGTGTGTTTTTTTATAATGTTTAATATATTAAACTAATTAATTTACGAAAATATTGGGGTAAGTTTAGCATTGAATCCTGAAAAACCTGGAAAAATTGGATATTTTATCCAAAAATTACTTAGACACTACCAATGTTTTCCAGTGTTTTTATGCTGCAACTGTTTAACACTTTAAATTAGAAGTAAGTTTGTTATGTGTTTAGAAAAGGTGTTATGTGTTTTGAAAATAAATTGATTTTATGTATATTTTGATTTTGCATTAAAATCTATTATTTAAAAATGTTTTCCAAATATTTTTTTTTTAGGATGGAAAGTGTTGCAACTATGGATATTGATAAATCTTTTCCTTGCACAAGCACCTCAATCCCCTTAGAGAATTCTTCAGCAACTACTTCAACTTTGAATGAGTCTTCAAATTTAAATTCAGTTCCTCCAAAGCCGGGAGCAGTCCCAAAATGGTTAAGATTAAGTATGTGCTTTATCATTTATTTGAAGCATTTGTTTTCTTTTAAAATGATTCGTATTACTTCTTATCATTATATAGTCAAGAATACTAAAACGATGACTCGTAGTATTTTTTTTTTCTGTATAAGGTTTGTGGAGCTTGTAGTTTGGTAGCTTAGCTATATCTGCACAAAATAGTATCAGATTCTAAAAGGACTACCTTACTTGTTCTTTTTAGAATTCACCACGCAACATCTATAAAGCATATTCTAATTGTTAACGCATTTGCTTTCCTGATTAAAAAAAAAAAATCAGTCATTTTACCACATAATTGAATGGAGACAATCTTAGGTGAAATATTTTTTAACCTCTTGTTCTAAATATTTATCTATTTTAATAGTGCTATTTTAAAACTTTTCTCAATTCTCAAAAGGACTAAAATTTCTTAGAAGTTTTGAAAAATCATTTATTACTTGCGTAACATTATTGCTTACACATTTTAGTTTTATGCTTATTAGTATTATACTTATTGTTTATAAGTTAACTGACCCAGTAAACAACACAGTTAAAACTTTCCTTTCTCTTTTTTCCCTATTTCAAATGTTTTAATGTGTTTTTGTTTACTTCAAATCTTTTACCCCTTTTTATTAACCACATTAATTAGAAAAGAGGAGCAAATATTTTAATATGAAGAGTAAATACAATTATTATTATCGCTATGAATTTGCTAGTGCTATTATCACAATGGGTGAGATACACCCATTGTGGTGGTCTAAAAATGTCTGAGTGTGGTCTTCTAAATGTTAAAAACCATATTTTTTCAATAAATCTACCTTTTGCATTTGAAGAAATTTTTTTAAGAATCAGTTTAGATGAATTTTAATGTTTAAAAGCATTAAATTTTTTGCAAATATATTCTAAGTTGATTGATAGGAAAAAATTTAGTATCTACAAGAAAGATGCTTACATAATAATTACCAAAATTGCATGGAACATCTATAAATACTTTGGCATGTGGCATTGGTCAACGTGCTGTACGAGTCACCCTTCACTCAGAAAGGTTCTGCACTATTTCAAATGTCTGATTAAAATAAGTTTTTTTTCAAGTTCATAAAGAAATCCTTATAATGAATAGAACCTGTTTTTATACTTAAGAGGGATGCCAACCTTTACATAAACAATTAACTGTGAAAAAACTATGGAAAATACAATTATATTTAAAGCTTTTTTGCAGTCTAATTGAACTAAAATCTGTAGAATTTATGAAAGACACCAGTAGTCCTTGGCATCCATGCTTTGCAAATTAAACCAATTGTTTTTATACTGTATAATAGTTTGGGCATGAAAACATGAGTCTATATAAAGCTTTTTTTATTGCAGGTAAAAAATGAAGAAAAAAATGAAATTGTATAAATTTATATTTTCTTAAATAAGCAATTTAGTTATGTGTTAACTGTTTGAAATGTTGATAATAGCCTTTTGTGTAATCCATCATCAGGTCTTGAGTGCATTCTGGCAAATCCTTTGTATACATACCTGGAATAAAAATATATTTGTTTTGTAATAATTTAGTTTCATGTGCAATCTCTTGTTTTTAAAAATTTATCAGTACACTTCATAAAATCACACCAGTAAAAATGAAATAAAAAAAAATTTTTTTTTTTGCTTTTCATAAAAACAAATATTGCATTTTTAAATTATTAAATAATTCTTGAAAGTGTACCAAATGGTAAAGTGTTTGCGATAAGGCACAAATCAACAAAGAGAAAAGTAAATATTGAGTTGACTTTAAAATGAAAATATCAAAATTTATACAAAACATATAAGCATTAAAAAAATAAAGAAAGAAAGAAGAAAAGAAAAACTTTATTTGCACACATTTTACAAATTATAAAACCAGGACAAAACCATAAAAGGAATAATTTTTTTTTTTTGATGTGTGAAAACAAACAATTAGTGCAACTAATTAAAATTAGTATTATAGTGTAACTAATAATTTGACTTATTTATGTACAGATAAGTTAATTTTCACATGTTTTCAATTTATGGTATATAGCATTACTTTGCAAAACTGGCTGAAGTTAGTAGTCTATTAGATAAATGTTTTGTCATCTGGGTAAATGATTAAAACAAATACCACATTTTTAAATACTTTTGACTTAACTAGACTCAATAAGAAATTACAATAAATAATTTACAAAAAGAACTCACCAGGTGATCCTGAATACATTGAGAAAGCAGGTACTACAGTTTCTTGAGGTAGGACTGTATTATCAGCTATCATGGAACAATCTTTAATAACACATCTTCTACCCTGTAAAAATAAATACTAAGCATTAGCCAAATTAATACTGACTTTCATACTTTTTATCAAAAACTAAGAAACTTTATCCCATTAAAGTGAAATTTAAAAATGTAAACGTTTATGAAGATAACTTTTATTATTATTATTACAGTGACCACCACTGGTAAATCATATGCTTTTTAAAATCAAATATGCAAGAACAGAATAGTTTTGATATCATAACATGTTAAAATCGTGCTTTTAAAAAAATTTGAGCTTCATTTTCTAAAACTAAATTTGTGCAGGATACATGTTCAAAATAATTAAAAAATATTTTTCTTGTTTGAATCCTAAGAATTTTCTATTTTCTCAAGTTTTAAATGCATATCAATAAAATTTTATTTTGCCCCTATTAACTAAAAGAACAAAGTTATGGGTATGGATAGCACTTCTTAAGGAAATAAAGGTGAGTTAAAAACCATGAAGTAAAGAGAGTAAAGGAATTAAAATGAAAATTGTTTATGACTTTAGAAAAGTAGCCTTAGAATGCCTATGGTTATTAAGTTTCATTGAAAATCACTCATTTAGTTCAATAAGGTAAATCTATCATCAATAGATGTCAGAAAAGCACTAGTTATTTTAAAATGAACTTTACAGCAAAGAAAATATTGAAACTTACAAAACATTTTATAAACTTTCAAGCCATGCTGAAGCTTTAATTTTAAATTTTGCAAATCAAACAAATATGCTATGACATTTTAAAACTCTTCAATAAATTAATAAAAATATAGCTCATGTTTAGTTAAAATGTCAAATAGAAATTCAGTAAAAATAAAATATAAATGTAGCAATCAATTTAACTTTCAGTGTATTTCAAAAAGTTTAACTTTGAATTTTTTCTCCTAGTCTAGATATCTATATATTCTATAGTCTAGATATTCCATATAAGTCTAGATATTCTGGTTTATAAATAAGCTGCCTTACAAAATAAAATATTCACAGAGCAGATGTGAATTTTAATATGTCGCAGGGTACTGTTTTGTTTTTACAAAAGTAGAAATTTTACTAGTAGATTTTCTTTCTAAATGGCTCCAATAGAAAAATCAACTAGTATTAGTCACTGTTTATAACTAAAATAATTATAAATAATAAATCTAGTAAATAAAAATCATAATGATCAACAATAGGAAATTATTTTCAATCGAAATAGTTGAAAATCAAACATTAAACAAGAAGAAAAAAAAACTATTGGAGAACAAGGATATCCAAAACTGTTCACATTTATTTTCAAACTTTACAAGTTTACCGAAAAAATTCTCCACTGTATAAGCACAATGTATTCAATAAAAATGTATAAAAAAAGGACATGTTTGAATGAATTGTAGAATTTCAAGAAATAAAAATTATTAATGTATAAAAAAAAAACACCACTTACTATGACACAGTTTTTCCCTATGTACACGTATGATCCAACATGAGCAGCATTAACAACAGTATCTTCATCGATAAAGGAATGATCACCAATATGCAGAGGAAAAAAAGCCACCCTTGAAAAATTTAAAAGGAGAAATAATTAAAAAGAAGAATAAAAATATGAATTTTAAAAGTTTATCAGAAAGAACAGAACTCTTACTAACTATTTCTTATCTAAATTATCTTTTATATAACATTATATATACAATTTCCTCTAATAATTTGAATTTTCTCTAATAGCCAATAGAATCCAACCAGGGCTAAAATGTTTAACACTCTTTAAATATCTTTTTAATAGCTGAAAGTTTGACTATGTTATTTCAGGGCTCCCATCAGTCAGGGGAACAGGGAAAACCTGGAATTGTTAGGGAATTTTATTTTAACTCTAAAAATCAGAGAATAGTCAGAAAAAGTAGCTGGATGATTCCTATATCATACCCAAAAAAAGCCAGTCTTAGAATAGTGTTCTATTAGAATAGAATCTATTACAATTATTTTATTAAATTCCACTTTTTAGGGACACTTTTCAATGTCTCCCTTCTCATTCTACTATATGTTTATGCTCACCAAATCTAATGTCTGACATAAGAAATAAAAAAATTTCTGATGAAATATTACATGGTAAAATATGGTATCGATTTTCATTGAAATTTATCTGATATACCAGGAAAAGACAGGGAATTTCGTTTCTGAAATTGAGTGGGAACCCCGTTTTTTCACTGAACTGATAACGGAAACTCCTCCTGGAAATGGAACGGAATTTTCTCCCTAATGAAAGGAATTGTTCTAGATGCCACAAATTTCAAATATCTGGTATTAAGTTAAGTTAATTAGTGTAGATTCCAATTTTAACAGAATTCAAATTTTTTTAATTATTATGATTTTCTAGGCTCGAAAAATCTTAAAAGTTTTAAGTACCCAAACATCTTTTTAATGCATTAAAAAAAACATGTATTTTATCTGATTATAATTCAGTATAAAAAAATAAACATTAACAATATTATATCTGACTTAACCCTTTTATTTAAATTATAAATTAGAAGTATTAAATTTCATTAAAAAATATTGGGTATCATTAACACAGAAGAATTAACTCACAAATAAACATTGATGGAGTTGTTATGCATTCCTTTCTGATTGTATTTTAATAAAGATTCGAAGCAGAAGTCGGGTATGAAAAGGATGTCACATTACAATCTCAATTTTTATATTTATTATTCTTCAAGCACAGCAATTAAAGTAAACCAATTTTTAAGAAAAATAAACATGTCTATGGAATTTTTAAAAAAATGATGTAATTTTTTTTTATATAAATCTTGATTTACATAATTAAATTCAATTAAATTTTTGCCTTATAAAACAATCAATTTCTTTTCCCCTTCCACTTCTGGTGTAGTTTATACTCGACCTGAGATTATGGTGATTTTCCGAAATCAAGAGGTGCTTAATCAGCATTAAAGGTAATTTCTTATTAAATATGGACATGCTCAATCAAACATGTAAGGTAGAAAAAAAATACAAGTCCAATCTGAGTTGTTTGACGTGAGCATAAAATTTTTGAGTCCTCATAATTTTGAAATGGTATAAAGTTTTGGATTTAAAGCAACATTGTTAAAGTTTTGAAATGTAAATTATTTATAAATTTAAATTATGGTAAACTTCTTTCAACTTGATGCTTATTGTAAGATACTATAACTTTTATTTTTTATTTTACAACATATTCATTTTAACTTTTTGAAACATTCAGTAACAATTTTCATTCTTTTATAAATAAATATACCAATTTTTTGAAGCTAAAAAAATTGTTTACATGATTATATTGAAATGTTCATGGTATAATTGACATAATTATTTCATACCCTTTGCTAAATTTTTTGAAAGGCGGTCGTATCACAGCTCTTTTACTGATCACACAATGTCTGCCAATTCTGACATTAGCTAAATCTCCACGGATGACACACTCTGACTGAACTATTGTCTATAAAACAAATCAATATTCAAAAAATAAAATATCACAACACACAAAGCCAAAGAGTTAAAGTACATATCATTAAAAATATGTATGGCAGTAGGCCAAGGGAACTCTGCCAAGTATTCAAGTTATTTGCCAAAAGAGTATTGTAAAAATATTACATATTAGATTTATTCCTGATATAAAAAAGTTTCACAATCCTAATATTTGAAGAACATTCAATAGTGAAATTGATTCTGATTTTACTTACAATCAGAGGCACAGCTGATAAACTTTTTCTGGGATAGATTTGGAAGAGTGAAAAATTCCTTTACTTATTCATAGATAAAATATTTTTAGTTATGTGCATTTATTTTTTATAATATCTCTTTTCTCTGGATAGGATTTTAACCTCTATTAAGTGTTTCAATAAAATTACATACTAAAAAGATAGCTCACTAAACAAGAAATAATTTATTATGTCACTCTATCTAAATTAAATAATAGAATCAAATTTAAAGTTTTTTACTTCTTTATAATAATATAGACTGTTCCTCTAGTTTAAGCTCTAGTAAAAAGCCTATTATAGGCCTGAATTTTATGAAGAATAAAAGATACTTTTGTAAGCAGCTAAATGTTTCTAGGGCGAGCATAAGTATGACTTGTTGCAACGTGCGTAAATATTGTTTTGGAATTATTATGCTTCCATGTCTAGTTTGGATTCGAATAGGATTAAATAAAGATATATTTAATATCTCTTACAATTTTTTTGTCTTAAGTTTTTTAATTGAATTGAAATCATCAAAACTTTTATAACTTATTTCAAAATGTATTACTAAGTAAATTAATATATTCTTATTATAATAGTTCTTAAGATTTTGAAAAAAGATGAGTAGTTTTTTAGAAAAAAACCAACATAAAAATCTTTTTTTTAACTACATCTTTAAATAGTTGTTTAATGTTTCGAATGTATATTTTGTTTACATAAAGTTGAAAAACAAATTCTTCTAAAAAATTAAATAATTATTCACATGGAAATTAAATTTGTACAAAAACTAATTAAATATCTGGAATTTTTGTAAGGTCACAAGAATCACAATTTCTTTTTCACTCTAAAATGAAAAGGTGATATTCAGATTTTCAAAGTTATAGTGATGAGCTTCTAAGTTACAGTGATCATCAAAGTTATAGTGATGAGCATCAAAGCTATAGTGATCATCAAAGTTGCACTGTTTAATAAAAAAAAATAGTTTATTATGAACTCACTTTTCCATTCAAAACAATGTTTTGACTCCCACAAAGAACAGACTGCCGGCTTACTTTATTACCAGATGCCTAAACGAAGAAAGAGAAAAATAACATATAGCTTTCTCTTAAAATCAGTGTATAGCTTTTTCTTAAACTTAAAAGCAGTGATATATAAAAGGAAAAAAAGTCTTAAGTGTTTTTTAAAACATTGTAACATAAATTTCTAACATTTGACATTATATATGTATGTATATATAGAGAGAGAACAAAGAAAATATAAATAAAAATATAAAGTAAACAAGAAAAAATACATTTTTTAAAGAAGAAAAAAATTATTAAATAAAACTTATTATTTTTCTTCGTTAATCTCTTTTTGATTCTATACTTTTTATCTTTAGTAATATATGTACATATATATAGTCTATAATTTTTTTAGTTCAATTTTTTTGAAAAAATTTGTGCACAGTGATGGTCTTTTAGAATTACTTTTTGAAATGCACATATAAAATAGTATAAGAAGATAATTCAAAGATAAAATTCAATTATTTCATAACATTACATGTTTGATAAATTTTTATGGTATTAAGTGAGTGAGGAAGCATCCTGCAATTTTTCATTTCTTGGAAGAACTCTAATATATATATTACATATTGAAATTACATTAAAAAAACTATTTAGCTATTAATGTTAATTTCAGATATAATACAGTTGCTGTGTATAATGTAATTTAAAATAATGTTTGATGATTGTTATAACTTTTATTGACTTAATTTTAAGTTTATATAATTGTGCTGGTCATTTTGCATCATTAGTATTTAAGTTACTTAGAAAAATCTTCATAAAAAAAATCTAATAAAATTTTTGTCTAAAAAAAAAGTTTTTTAAAAACCTATTTAAAATTACTTTTGAAATGCATAAGATAAAATATACAGAATACTTTAAATAATTGACAGAATCGATCCAAATAAAATTCATTAGGTAAATTCTCAAAGCAGAACATTGAACAGTTGGATTAATTAATGAAAAATTAAACAAATGTTTAATATAAGTGTTAAATCAAAATACACAGAATCATACACACCGTTTCAATGTATTCTTGCTTGTTATAAAAAATATCTTCCAGTTCCATAGTTGTAACTAAAAATCACAGCAATTAACAGACAAATATCTATAAGCATAAGAAACCTTTCATTGATTAAGTAAAACATCACAATAATAACAATAAATTAAAAATAAACATCATATATAGCGTGAATATTAAATCATAAAAGAAGGAAAGTATAAGTAGAAAGGACATACTGTACAATTTCACAATTATTTCTTCAACAGAGGATAAATAGAAATCATAACATTAACTTTATTTCTTAACATTGCAGCAAAATTAAGGAGATGCAGATTTCTTTCACATCCAAAATCTAAAAATCCAACACCCATCAAAAGCTTTAAATAAACATCAATGTATCAATTATATTTAGTGTGTATAATGAGGGATAATATTGAGATCACGTGTAAAAAAGAAACCATACAAAGAGAAGCAAATAGATGTAGGTGTGGCAAATACTCGTTTTCTATTGGCTAGCAACATTTTGACATATTCTTCCTGTAAAGACTTGTCAATTCGGCTTTTCCTTTTAGTTTCACTCACATCCTGAATTTGTTAAATGTCAATTTCGCGACTAAAGTTTAATTTTGTCCAAATATTAAAGAGTTTTTAATTTCTCCGGAAATTTAAATACGCGATGTTGAGTTTTTATTGGGGTTGTATTTATTTTATATTTCATTTTGTTTGATTTCATTTTAAAAATGTATTCTCGGTGTAATCATGCCGCAAGTTTCTTATTTATTTTTTTCTCTAATTTTCCATTTCTTGATGCTCAAAATTCTACTCTCAGCTATTTTATTACTGAAGATATAGGTGAAACTTTAATAGCAACCACTGAAATAGGTAAGATAATTTATTTGACTTATTCTGACGTCTTGAGGATTATACATCATTTGATAATTATCGATTTTACAATAAGTTCCCTTATAATTTATTACTTAGCATTTGTTTCACACTTATCTCTTTCTATCTGAATAAATTTGCTTAAAATCTTTGAATCTCATTATTATTTTATTGTTTTAATTTGAGAAATCATTTTCAGTCATTAAAAGATGTTTAATGACTGAAAATATAAAAATCGAAAGAGGCAAATCAAATGCAAAAAAAAAATAAAAAAACGAATTAACAATGAAAGAATACAGAAATAAATAAATCTGAGAGCAGCAGTTGTAGAAATTCTGATCTTAATATTATACATTTGATTTAGATGCTCCATTTTCTAGAGTTAGTTATTATATTTCCATGTGATATAGAAGTTTAACATTGATTATGAGAAAAACAAGTCTAAAATTGAATCGTTTATATATTCTTTTTCCTATTTTTTTTATAAAAAAAACTATTATTTTTCATTAAAACATGATATCTTATAATAATATGTGCAATATAATTTTTTAATAATAATATCTTATAATGTTAATAAAATTTTTTAAACTAGAAAATAAATATTTTTTACAATAATTTAGAAGCAAAATCATTATTAATGTACTTTTAATGCAAAAAGAAGGGCAGTGGCCACCAGATAAATTTTCTAGTCTTGCCCTTTAATTTCTCTGTTGTTTAGTTCATTAAAATGAACGTTTAGGTCAGGGTTGGGTTTTTGACGTCAAAAAGTGGTTTTTGACATGACAAGGGTATAATACTGGTTTAAACCGTCAAAAATGTCAAAAACTGAAGTTTGCCAAGAAAATATATAAACTTCAAAACTACCAACAGTTGCCATGCATTATATTGAAATTTAATTATACTATAGGTAATCAGCAGGTTTTAAAATATTTTTTAATTAAAATTAAGGTAAAATAACAGATTTAAAATCTCAGAAATTNTGTGATGCATATTCTAATGGGTATACTTTAAGACTTGCTTGTTTCTTATTGACTAAAATATTTACAAGACTATCAAAAATTATGAGAGTTCAAATATTTCTTTAGCCAATATTAAAACATTTAATATCTCTAAGACATAAACATTTAATATCTCATTTCTTTTCTCTTTGAATCATAAGTAAGGGGCAATTTTTAAAGTCAGGGTGGTGATTTGCCTAGAGTAAAAGTTTGTTTCTGTTAAAGTTTTATGTGCATTTTCTCATTATGAATTTTTTTTAAAAAATTAAAATAATTATGCCTTAATCTAATTTGAAAAAATTAATTTAACTAGCATGTATAAGACTTTATATTAAACTAATGCAGAAATTGAAGATTTGTGTAAGAATAATTTTTTTTTAATTGCAATATTTATTGTATTACAAGGATTTATTTTATTTTTCTTTACCTTATATCATGCTGATAATATCTTTGAAATTTTAGAAATTATTGGAGATAAATGCATTTTTTTTTTATAATTTTTTTTTAAAACAAGTTAAAATAATTGTGCCTTAATCTAATTTTAAAGAAAATTAATTTAACTAGAATGTATAAGACTTTAAGTTAAACTAAAGCAGAAATAGAAGATTTGCGTGAGAATAAATTTCTCTTTAAAATTGTTCATTGCAATATTTATTGTATAGCAAAGATTTGTTTTATTTTTTATTGATTTATATCATGTTGATAATATCCTTAAAATTTCAGATTTAACTAAATGGACTACTGTAAAGATAACAAAAAGACCTCTTACCAAATTTAAAATCAAAAAAAGGACATCCCGTAAAATTATTGGAGAGAAATGCTCATCTTTCAGAGACTGTCCACTCACAGCCTTATGTGTGAATGGTATTTGTTCCTGTCCTTATGACTATTATAACTATGTGCCTCAATCAGATCCCGAACTTTCTGTTTGTCGCAAGAAATTGAAATTTGGATTTCTGTGTACTTTGACAGAAGATTGTGTTGGTTACGACTCCAATTCTGCTTGCTCAGATGGTGTTTGCAAATGTATCAATGGTACACATTATATAGGATCTCGCAATTTGCTTTCCTACAATAAACGATGTTATAAAATTCTGGATAGAGAAGGTGATGTGTGTGACATTGATGAACAATGCAGTAGATTAGCAGATAATCACCACAAGTGCCGGTGCATTGGTAGATGTGATTGCACCAGTACTAATAGTTATGGTGGTTGTAGCATTTGTCATGAAAATATTAAAAGGACCTTTTTTGGAGGTGCTGCATTTATTGCAATTTTATTCACCACTCGTGTTTTTTCTAGAGTTAGGAAACGAACGAGTTCCCAACAACAGCAGAATATGAGTTTGAGTGGTTCGAGAGAAAGATGCTACCGATTGAATACCAGTCGTACGGTACCCTTGCCATCTGTCTCGTATAGCCGTAGTAATCTGAGATCCAATCGTCATATAGCATCATCTTTACCGGATGTATTTTTGATTGAGAGTCATAATTTGATAGGCCTTCATTCATCTAATACTACAGACTTTTACCCACAAACTAGTCCTTCTAATACTGATCGATCTACCGAAAGAAGTGAAGATGCTCCACCATCCTATGAGGATATTATTGGAAGGGACCACTTAGTCTGGAGCGAACCACCTCCATCTTACCAAGAAGTTGCCTCCAAAAGTCCTTAAACATGAAAAATGTCTGTATAATAAAATAGAGATGGGTGAATTTTGTTTCCTTACCTCTATAAATTGTTTACTCAAATCTCTAATGTTTTAAAACTGAAGATGTATTGTCTAAGCGTAACTCATTGTAGCCATGTTAGTATTTACGTATAGTATCTGAAAAACTAGATGGTTTCTAAATTTTATATCACAGTTTTTAAAAAAATATATGTAGTAGATATATTTAAAACTTAAAAGTGGTACTAAACCAGCATAAATTGATACACTTAATTTTTATAGGAATTTAATGTGCTATAATTTTAATAATAAGAAGAAAAATTATATGTTTTATTTTAATAATAATAGAAATTTTAAGTGCAAATTTTCTGCACTTAATTTTTAAGCTTGCCATAGGAAAACATTTTTAAACTGTCCTATAATTTTTTATTATATAAAATTTGGACATAAAAGAAAAATCAGTTTTCAATGAATCCTTCCTTACAATGGCATTCAATTATAAAATTTCGCTATAAGAGAAAAAAACATTTTTTTTTCTTAAGTCAGATCTTCTATAAAAGATTTACAACAGAAATAGATAATGTTTTTGGATTCTAAAGAAGTTTTACTCTTACTCTCTGCTAAAAATACTGTTGTTATCACTTTTTAAAGAATTCAAGTTCTTTGGAAGTTTGCTCAGAAAATTTTTAAGTTTAAAATGCTTACAATTAAATAACAGTGAAATTAAATCTATGCTTCCTTATATTACTTACCTTATTTAAATCTTTAAAAATCGAAAATATAAATAACTGAAGTATTATAGTTATAGAATTGCTGATTTAAATAGCTCTATTACATGCATTAGAATTTCAAAATTACATGAATGTGTATTATTGTAATTCACCCATCTCTAAGGATGTGTAATTTTCCACATATATTACTTTTTAAAAGCCTTATATAATTATGGGAACAGATATATGGAATATTTTAGCTAATAATTTTATTTATAAATATATATTTTTATGCATAATACACTGCTATGTAGTTTATAAAGTTTGAACTTTAAATGTATATCCTCTTTAAAAGAGAAAATATTCAGGAAATGGCATCGATATCTTGCCAAATCATTGAACTTTCAATTTCATGGGTGAGGGAGAAGTAAATAAAATCCACTGAAAATTAGTAATATGAAAATTGTTCAATTTTTTTGAAGGAAAAAAAAGAAATTTTCTTGGTGTTTTTCATCATTACATTTATTCTGTGGGCAGATGCAAGTGAAATCCTAACTACGCATGCGAAAGAACTTGATAGTCAATTATAATATCTCATGTAACAATTTGAATATCTACCTTTTTATGAACAGGTTTCTTTGTAAATTGAGTCTATTGAGACTGCCTTCCAACAATTTAAATCTGCTTTTCAGTCATATGTTCGCAAAACCTACTAATTGACTGTAATCAATTAAACTAAAAAAACTAAAGTATTATTTGCAGATACAATAATGGGATCTTGATTATCTGAAGTAACTAAGACCTGGGTTGCAAAAAAGCCAGCCTTTTCTGAAAAAGTTCAATAAATGCTGGTTTTTATTATGAATAGTTTAAGTTTTGCAGCTCTTTTTATTTTGTGTCTTATTATTCATAATTAACATACGTGCATTTAAATTCAATTTATTGATTATTATTCAGTAAAAGTAGCTAATGAGCTGAAAACAATGACTACCTATAGTTTGTCTTCGGTAAGAACTCCCCCCCACCGCAAAGTCTGAGGCATTCTGCTGCTATGGAAACAAGAATAGCACATTTTAGGAAGGGTAGCTTCTCTTTACTCTAGGCCTAATACAGTAGACCAAAGAAAAAGATACCCTTTCTTTCGTCAACCCGAGCCAAAACCTGTCCTATACAATGACCCTACTTGAAATAGTTATACCACATTACCATAGTCACCGCCACGGGTCCTGACGAATGGCTAAGGGATTGCTTACTTTCTACAAACTATACAGTTCTTTATATTGTAGCACTATGATTTAAAAGTTTCACTTATTTAAATTGCAGAAGCTCCACTTTTAGTTTATAAATGTAAAACTTGGTTTTCAAAAGTATGTAAGCAATAATATTTAATAAATAAATTCCAATGTATTTTCATTCATAGATTGAAAATTTAGTATTTTTTAAAAAAAATTATAGTGCTATTATAGCATTTAATTTTAATATTACCATTCTTTTTTTTAAATTGGTATAAAGATATTTTATTTTGGAATTCCGTAGCACTGTTGTCCTAGTTAGCAATACTCTTTAGTTTCTTTTTTGAATTAACCATTTGTGGATAATAGTATTCAGTTCTCAATTGTTATGTATTTTAGTATATTTTCCTTTATAGAACTTTCTCTAGGTTTTATGCACACTACAATATTATACCTATATTGCCACTAATTTGACATGCTTTTTTTTTTGTTCAAAAGTGAAGAACATGGTAGTAAAATAATTATAAAATTATAGTACAATAATAACAATGAAATAAGTAAAATTACAATTTTAAGATTTCTTTAGAAAAACCTACCAACTTCACCAATTATTATAATGTTTCTTTATTTTTCACATAAAATTATAAATTTTATATTGTCATGCTTTACAATAGGATAATTATTTAAAAAGCTCCAAGTGAAATTGTATTATGACATGATGGAGATTCTGCTTTGTATGTTTGCCTCCAAATTAGAAATAGACAGTATGTTTCTTTTTGTAAATCATCCAAGGTACATCACTTGCTTGCATCTCATCAATCTTTTTACTGTCCAAGATGACAAAATTGTGAGTGAGTTTAATCCTTGGGTAGTATGGAAGAATATAAATTTGTACATGGTAATAATGTTTTTCATCGTGTGAAAAATAAAGGATTGCACATATGTCCACAACCTTATTCAGTACCATGGAATTTTAGATACATAGATATTATATAGTTGTTAAAAGATCCCTCAATAAATACTATATATTCAGCTTCTTCAAATGCAATAAAATGTATCGCTAATATTAAAAAAACAAATATGTTAACTTAATTGAACCAAAAAAAGAAAAAAAAAGATTCTAATCTTATTATATATTTCATCATGCATAAAGCAAGCATTTTCTTTTTTAGGTGTCAAAAAAGTCAAATTTATGTTATGAATTACTTTTTCCCCAAAATATTTCATAACAAGAATTTTGGTATAATTCTAATTCTGAATTGATTTACTTACGATGTATTGTAAAAATTAAAAAAAGTAAGCAATTTCGATTGAAATAATATGGTTGACAAGATAATTGCTTGACAAAATTATTAAAATTTGATGGTTTTAGCTTCCAATCTCTAACTATTAACTGCTGCTTTCTTGTAACTCTGTCATACTTTTCTGAANAGGCGCTAGACTCTTGTAAGATAACAAAAATTGAAAATGTATCACGAATATTAATGGGAAAATGGTCGTCCGAGCGGACGTTGGATTTGAGATATTTGTTGTCCACATGGAATTTTTGACCGCCGAGGACGGGTGGTTTTTCGAGCCCTGATATTTCATCATGCATAATGCAAGCATTTTCTTTTTAAGTGCCTAAAAGAGTTGATGCTATTCAAGTTTATGTTATGAATTATTTTTTCCCAAAAATATTTCATCTAACAAGAATTTTGGTATAATTCTAATTCTGAATTGATTTACTTACAATGTATTGTAAAAATTTAAAAAAGTAAGCAATTTGGATTGAAATAATAAGGTTGACAAGATAATTGCTTGACAAAATTATTAAAATTAGATAGTTTTAGCTTCCAATCTCTAACTATTAACTGCTGCTTTCTTGTAACTCTGTCATACTTTTCTGAATGAACTTTTAGTTGATGGCTGCCTTGCAAGGGGTTTATTTTCAAGGATTCATTCTATGAGTTCAAACTCATAGAACTCATTCTATGAGTTTCAACTGAACATTAGAAAACAAGTTGCAAAACTATACTAGAATCTTTGTTAAAAATCAAGAAATAATCATGTATGCAATAGCAGTTTGTCTTTACTGTCAAAATCTTTAATATTTAGCTTGTAGAATTACATACTTAGTACTGGTAGACTTTTTAAAAATCAAAAATATTTTTTCAAGACTTGAAACTCTTAAAACTTTTATCACATAAACTGAATATGTGAAAAATGAAATAGTTTTATACAGAATTCTGCAGTTTTCTTTTAACACTAGAGCTTCTAGGTGTAGTTTTTAATACAAATATTAGATATTTTTAATTAATTAATTATTTTTAATTAATAAGTAATTTAAATTATTAGTAGTTTTATTCAAAACCTGCGAAATATGCATTGACAATAGTGTGCAAGTGGGATGGGTGAAGTCTCTTATCAGTTTTGTTTTCAATGTAAGTATTTGCCTCAGAGTTGGTAGTCGAGAAAAAAGTTCGACTACATGATGAATTCTTCTAGAAACCTTCAGTCTGTGGATTCCCCTGTGAATTGAATCATGTTTGTTTAGATTTAGAAGCAGCTTAATAATAATGTCAGTTAACTTTGCTATGTCACAAAAGGAAAAATCGAGCATTGCCTATTGTTCTATATAAAGTAGAAGGGTGGTTTCATGAAAAGTCTTAATCGAGTGCTAATTAAAATTTATTTGTTTTTAAACTTTACTTTAAAATGACATTTCTAGAAAGTCATACTAGGTTCTTTTAATTCCAAACAAAGTATAAGAATGATTTTATAAGGTATCAGAAAACAAATAGCTGTAAAACCTTCATTTAATTGCAAAAAAAAAAGACATTATTTATTGCATATTGTATAATTTTCACTCACTTATTGAATTCTCATCCTTTAAAATTAAATTTAAAAATCAAACTAATCTTTGTTCAGCAGATGATGCTATAACCTATACTTAAACCAATGTTACAATTTTTATGATGCTAAAAATTTACAAGCTAATGTATTCAAATTCAGTTGTGGTTTACTTATTAAATCCATGTCCATAAATATAATGACATTTTTAATTATTGTTATTTATAAGTATCAATGAGTTAAGGGAAGTGCTCACAGCACATTTTATGAATGTAGCAAAAATAAGCATGATGCTTTCTTCTTAACTGAACTCGCATAGTAATTTACAATAAAGTGCTATCAAATATTTAAATTAGCTTGTCAAAAAATAAAGAAACAATCTTGACAAACTCTTGAATTTATAGTTTGATTTTTACATAATATTTAACTACTCTTTTCATAGATTAATGTGATTGGTCCATCATATACCAATTAAAAAGTACTAAGAATTTTTGAAAGTAATTGCATAGATTTCAGCATTTATGTAAAACTGAAATTACTTTCCTATTCATAGATAATTTCATTAAAAAAATTTATATTATGTATACTAAAAGTTTTCTGTTAAAATTTAAATCATTTTTTAATTACAAAAGTGTTACTTTGTTTAAATCTGTGTGATTTTTTTATCTTACTGAAAAGTTGGGTAAATAGTTTATAATGTGAGTACATTTTATCATATTTTTTTTTTCATATCATTAAAATAATTATTTTTAGAATGTGGTAAATTTGTATGATTTGAAAATTTACCTTATAATTATCAATTTTCTTATTATTAAAAACTGAAATTTTTATTCAAATTAACTTTCATTCACTAAATTTTTTTTTTAATATGTCGAAAAAGTTTGTCTCATATAATTAGTTTGGGAGATATTAACTAAATGCAAAAAAGGGAATTAATATTGACAACAGGAGATCCAGTTTTTTATTTTGATCTCTCCTAGCTAAATTATTTTTGATATTTTTTTACATTCATTATTTAAAATTAAATTAAATTATTTTTTCTGTATTTGTTTGACTGTATTTATTTAAAATAAATTTTAGATATTGAATGATTAAAAAATAAAATTAAATATTGTTGAAATTTATCAAGTTTAAATCCTTTAAAATAGGGCAATTGTTACTTTTTCATTTATTTGTTGTTAACAGTATCAGATATGTACATATTTAAAGTTGACTTGTACAATGTGACAATACTTGAAATGAATGAATAATAGGAATACTCATTTATTGATACTGGGTTTGATGTCTTTACAATGTTGAATGTAGTGTTAGTCTTGTACAGTTTGTTAAATATCACAACATTCTTGTATAAAAGTTTTATTGACTATCTAAAATGTGTTGGTGATTAGTTTAGTTTACGTGCAACTACCGCACGATCCGAATGTAAAAGTGGAAGAAATTTTGTAAGCTGGTGTAACAATATTAGAAGCTAACTTCAGATCTGATAAATTATTATTTTTATTGATTTATAAATAGAGAAACATCTTATAGCTATCTTCTAATATTATTATTATGTTAGACGATTCTATCTAAAATTTTAGAAAGCTTTCATTATTAAATATTATTCTAGTTTGAAATATTTTCAAAATGTTAATGGAATAAATTTTTTCTGTCCAATTACAAAATTTCTTTGCATTTTCAATATATAATTAAAATTATTTTCATTCACTATTGTGCTTTTCATTAAATTTTTTTAAATCCGGAATTTATTATTATTATTTTGAAATCTGATTTATAATTAAATCGATCAACTTTAAAAAAATATATATATATATATCTTTAATTTTGAGTTTAGTAAAATGCTCAAGAGAATTCTAAAAAGAGAATTGCTTTTGGATTTCTTCTACTTTTAGACATACTGTAGGGAGCCGATTATTCGGACCAATCGGGACCAAGGATGATCCGGAGTGTGAAAAATCCGGATAATTGGATAATCTTAAAAGACGGTTATAAGAATGTTTTTAAGTAACTACCCTTCACACTTTTTACAGGCTCAGAATTAGCCATTGTAGTAGTGTTTAATAGCATATAAATGGCATGTGTAAGAGATTTAGTTTTTTTTCAAAAATCTGATTCCTTATTTGAAACTACTGATCACCAGCATTGAAACTGGACGGAGCGAACACGAGGGACTTTTCAAGGTCACCAATGGATAAGGGAAGCCATTTTTCAACTTATTTCAGATCTATTTCGAAAATAAAGATGCATTTTCACGAATTTTTTTATTTAGTTATTTTTTATAGAGGGTTGGAAAGACAAATGGTCCTTAAAGAATCCGGTAAATCGGCTTTCTGATAGTCGGTGCTCTACAGTAATTTAAAAATCTCCATTAAATGCATTCCATTTCTGCAAGATACAATGTTATGTATTAAATTTTGATGTTATTAAATTTTAATCATGCTTATGTTAATGATTAAAACATTTGAAGAGTACAATTATCAAAATTTCTTACTAATTTTTCATAAAAATCAAATTAGTGCTGCCATTTGATAAGGTTCAAGGCATTGATAGACTCGTTTGATTCTCAAAAGCAAAAATTAACAGAAATAATATTAGGCTATTACATTCTGGTACATCTCTAATAATGACAAAAGTTTTTATTAGAGATGTACCATGTGCCCGGCATTTATCCGGTTTCCTCAGACAGATTTTTATTAACCTGTTATTATCCGGACATGGATAAAGTGTTTCATTACCCGGATCCGATATTTAAGTCTCAAGACCCTTACCGGGTATCCAATGTTGGGTAACACTCATTTAAGTTCAACCCAACCATATTCAGAATTATATTATAATGACCATAAAAGTGTTTATATTGCTAGTTATGGAAGTCCACGTATTCCATCAGTTTCTAAATAATTAAGATGAAATAAGTGTCGGACCTTTTGAGCATGGTTTTAATTAAAGGAAACTTTGGTAAAATGGTCCGAACGGAGCAATATATTCGCTAACGAGAAGTGTCCGCTGGAGCTCTGGATTAGTAACCGCTAAACGGGCGACATTTGCCTAGATAATGGCTACCAAAATATCAAACCATAATCACCAAAGGTGGCGACTATGATACGGGCCAA